TCAGCAGTTGCATAATGGGGTCCACTCTCGCGGAAAGCGATGGAAGCCCCCCTCCTTAAGTAGCTTAAAGCTAAATGAATCATTTCACAATATAGCGTGACAGACTATAAAGCCTCAATTTTGCTTGACAACAGATTGCACAGTGATAAATAACGTACCCCAACAGAAAACAAGCATTTGTTTTAGTATCAGCTTGGATGAGAGTTTTCTTTTTTCTCTGCTTAAACAAAAGAAAAGCTGACACAAATTATTTTTAACAGTAGCCTCTTTAACAGTAGGTATTGAAAAAGGCATCGTCCACGTAAGTAAATTAACTTCTTGGTTAACAGCCGTGGGGAGGGGGACTCTCTAGAGTCTTTGTATTTTTACTTCCTAATGGAACACGTTTCCTCTCATAGGTAGATTGCATTACACATCGGCTCTGACAAATAAATAAATGCAAGTTCTTTTGTCCTATGATGAATTTTTTTCAGATCCCGTGCAGAGGCTTTGCTTCCCTCACGCTTGCCAAGGAAGAAGCCCAGAGACTCCTGGAAAACTTGGATGTCGACAGATGCCCAACAAAATGGCGCCCTCTAAAGGTAATACGCGCACACTGAGAAGTGATGAGACAAATAGCAAAGCGGTGTTTCTCACAGTACTTGGGAAACAGATACATTAAAGGGGAACTGGGTGGAAGATGTGTATCTGTGTTTAAGAGAATCCTCCTTGCACCCTGCTTGGTTCAGAAACCTTCAAGAACAACTAATCTGCATGAAAAGAGAAGGCACATAACACTCCCAGGCTCAGTAAGATCCAGTGATGGGGCTGTTCAGTGAATACTCTTATAGTACAAAAGCTAATCTAGATCAAAGATAAAGTTATAGTAATTCCTCTTGAATGCTATCTTAATTTTTTGCACCTAGAAAATGCGCTTGGAAGAGAAACCTGACCTTTCAATATGAAAAACTTGAACATGTACCACTTGATATTTGTACCTTCAGGATTGAATTCAATCTTCCTTTGAAAACACCTATAGCGATTTATTTTGAAAAGTCAAAAGAAGTTGAGAGTACTGTTGCCAAGAGATCATGTTTTAATTACCAAGGGAGCAGTCTTGTATAAAAATTTGTTACGGGAAATTGTTTATAAAAGCAAAAGCAACAATGAAGTGACTTAAAATAGGTTGTTTATGTAAGAAACATTCAGGACTTCTGATAAATTCATGGGTCGGCAGCACTACAAGCTGAAAGAGGAAAATGGCAGAGAACACCTTCTATTGAAATCCTCAGGACATGTTTTGACTGATACCCTGCAATGGCACACGACTGTCACCCTGATCTGGTCATCTCAAGACTGGAACAACAGGAGCAGAAAGGAAGAGGACAATCTTCACTGTTGTGGCTGCCACCGTCTCGAGGGCCGGGGTCCTCAGCACCAGGAAGGCATGCCACGTCCTCATCCCAAAAGACGGTCTGCTCAGATATCTGCCTAGATACGCTGGATCCGAGCCACTGAACTCTGCGGTCTCCTTCGGCTTCCTGCACTGCTTTTCCAGCTTACCTTAGCTCTTCTTGCTCTTTTTCCTTCACCGTAAATTTTTTTCTTCCACCTTCAGCATGCTGTTGCCTTCTCAGAGCATGAGCTTACAACCAGCAAGGCCAGCTAAGACCAGTAGCTGTCCCAGCCTCACAGCAGTAGGAGTTTGCCAGCGCTCAGCAAGCCGGGCCTGTGCCTTTTTTAGCAAGGAGGTCCGCTAGCACAAAGTCAGCACCAGAGACAGAAGCCGATGCTTGCTGGTTTTCCCCTTCATCTACTGCTCACGGAGATGTAGCAGTCATAGCAGAATGGTATTTCCAGACCCTCTGAAGGCTTTTTGTTTCTTGCAAGCGGGTTAAGGCAGTACTGCTCTAATACACAAATCTGTCAGGCTGGGACGTGAGCGAGGGGAAGGAAATCAGCTCTCCTATGAAAATTTTGCCTACAGGGAAGGAGTATAAAGAGTCTTGTCAAACTTAAGTCTTACTTAGCAGTTCACATTGCAAATATGCTGGGTTTTCCTTCCTTTTCTGTGTCCTTGATAAAAAAAATGTAAAAATGTTCTTGGTGATACAAGTACTGAACGCACATAACCCAGTAAGAACTTGTCATGAATCCCTGAACCATCTCCGTTTAATATAATGCCAAGGATTATATATATATCTTATATATATATATATATAATAATATAACGCCAGTGAACAAGGATTTCATTTATAACTCCTTTCTTACAGAGCCTGAA